AGATTAGAGACACATGTGCAAACATCTAAGAGTTAGAAGCAATAAAAATGAGGTTTTTTTTTCTATATGAAACAGTATATTTTAAAATGAAATGGAGATCTTTTTTAAAGGTTATAAACTCCCTCATTTATATGTCTTTCAGGGTTTATACTGAGTACAATATTGTATAACTGTAATAATTCAACTGTAAACCTAAAAATTTATAGCCAATTTTGAAAGAGATGCATCTTAGCTCAGAAAATTTTTATTGAATATGTCAATGCTGTTGTAATGAAATGCTTCTAAGTGTGTGGTTAATAAATAAATAATTTTTAAAAAGAAAGAAAAAAATGATCTCTCTGGGGCTAGAGAGATGCTTCAATAGTTAGAGCATATGTTGCTCTTCCAGAGGACCTGAGTTCAATTTCTAGCACCCACATCAGGCAGCTAACAACTGCCTGTAATTCCAGCTCCAGAGGATCCAACACCTGGCCTCCATAGGCTCCAGTACTGGTACACATACATATACATAAAATTAAAAGAAATCATTAATTTAAAAAAAATATTTTTATTTCATGTATATTCATGTATTGCCTGCATGTAGGTAAGTGCACCCATGTCCTGCAGTACCCACAGAACACAAAAGAAGCTGTCAGATCCCCTGGAATTAGAGTTACAGAGAGTTGTTAGCTGCCATGTGAATGCTGGGATTCAAACCCAGGTCTTCTGCGAGAACAGCCAATGTTCTTAACCCCTGAGCCATCTCTCCAGCCCAAATCATTAAAATTTTTGTTTTTAAAGAAAGAAAAATGGTCTCTAAAGAGACCTAAGCTCTGCTCACAGCTCAGTTGCCCTCAAGAAGAGGCAAGGCCAATCCCTGGACTCCAGTGTTGTGTCTGTCCCTAGGACTTTCTTCCCCTTCTCCCAAAGGCCTCTGCCTCTAGGCAGCTTCCCTGATGAGAGAGCTCATGAGAGAGGTGAGCACTTTGAGGAGGAAGCCCATGGGATGAGGGGCCAGGGCCAGGGTCAGAGCCAGCTCACCACTGGGACTTGAAGACAGCCCATTCCAGACAGAGGCCCCTGGGTGAAACTTCCAGCTTAGACCACAGTCCCAGCAGTACTCCCCACTACATAGTGAGACGCAACAAAAAACCTTGGCAAAAGCCTTAACCTTGCAACATAAGGTGATGCTCCAGGAATCAGGACATGATTGCATCACTTTGGAGGGGTCACCATCCAAACTACTTCATTGGTGACTTGGGATCTCCATTATAAACCCTCTTTGTTCTATTCTGCCTTTGAGTGAATGTATAGAGATTCCCTGAGGGCATCATGCCAAGTGTCACTGAGACCTTGGCAGGGTGCACACTCCCATTTGCCACCTGAACTATCTCCCATTCACTCACATCCCCTGAGCCAGTCTCCACAGAGTCCAGTTCTACCTGGCTAACCTTTCTCATTAGCCAGTGTGCTTTTCAGTGCCTTGAGGTTTTCTTATTCCCCTCAGCTGAGGGTTTCAGGACAATATGGGCTCTGTGTGGCGATCACCCATACATTGTCCCAATGGAAGGCTCTCAATCAGCTCTCCAATATGTGCGCTGCATTAAAAAAAAAAAAATCCTCATGGGGGCTGTCCTGTGCTATGGGTGCCAGGACAGGCTTTCTCAGTAGGAAGAGCATAGGGCACACTGCAGGAGGAAGGTGTGGTCCTGTGCTTTTCTGCACTACACTGTTGGCCAGTGCAGAGTCATGCCATGACCTTAAGGACAGACCTGTCCCAGGCTCAAGCCCAGAGTGCACAGCCCTGGCATGGTCTGGCCTTGCAGTCAATTTCCAGTGGCCCATGCCACACTATGAACTCCTACCTCTTGCAGGGAACCTGCCTGCCCACAACATGTCAGGGTTTGGCCTTGTCTACAACCCACCTGCTCTCTGAGAGTTGCTCACTGCTTACCTATTAACTGTAGGCCAACTGAAGTTTCTCTGCCTTCCAGTGGCTAAAAATGCACTTCTTTGGGGGTTGGGGGGATTGCTAATGATTGAACTCAGAATGTTGTGCCTGCTGTATCTCTAGCCAGTCTCTGTTTAACATCTAGTGTGTGCATGTGTGTATGTGTGTGCATGTTCATGCACATGCATATGTGCATGCATGGACATACCACAGCCTGCCAGTAGACAACTTAAGAGAGTCAGTTCTCTCCTTCCACTACATGGGTTCTGGGGAAAGACTCAGAACATCGGGCTTAGCAGAAAGCACTCTTACCAGCTAGGCCATCTCACTGGCCAGCCCTTCTTTATTTTTTTTAATGTGGAATATTCATTTTTATTTATGTGTGGGTGCACATGCCATAACAGACATGTAGAGGTCACAGAACAACTTGGCAGGTGTCAATTCTCCCCTTCCACCATGTTGGTCCTAAGGATAGAACTCAGGTTGTCAGGCTTAGCAACAAGAGCCTTTTCCCACTGAGCTGTCTTTGCTGGATTTAGAATTCCTTTATAATAGTTGAAATGGAAGTTATTTCTTATTGTGGACTCCTGTGTGGGCCTATATTCTGAAGGGACAGATAGATTTCTCATTATCTTAAATATTAAATTCTACAGTGTTCTTTTGAGTCTGGCCATTTATGTAAAGCATCATAGGACATTAGGGTTTAA